ATGTCCCTTGATGTCAGATGGTTGCAAGTGTAATGCTTGAGCAACATCTTCAGGCTTTGGTTCTTTTTCCATACCGTTGTAGGGTAGTTGATGAAGAATAGGAATTCTCAGGAGTTGAGAAAATTCCTCCAAAGTAGGTACTAGTTGGTAATCAGGGAATGTGAAACAGTGGTGTAGGGGGTCAAAGAACTGGAAGAGATTCCATGACCTACAAAACAAGAACAAAGATGAAGATCTAAACCCTTGCAATGGTTAGTGGATGCATATGATGCTTTATGATGTTCATGATGTATGCACAAGCACATGTACAAACAAGTCACACAAAACCCTAGTTTCAGGCTTGCATGAGGTCTCATAGGTAAATACCCTCTTGAGTTTAGTTGGCTCAAACCTGTCCTATAAATAGTAACCGGGTTCTAAAGAGCTCAATATCACTGGATTGTTTTCCATGTTCATTGTTTTGGTTTAGCCACTTAACTAGCAACCAAAATATTCCAAGAAAACAATCCTCAATGAGTGTAGTATCGAGTATCTACCAACTTCGGACTGCACCAAAGTCGGTCATCTCACTACCCCTAATAAAAGGCCAAGATGGTCAAGTAAGGTTCTAAGAGTTCATTAGTGTTTTATGACATCACTCAGCGGCCCCGTATTCTCTTTGATTGACTCAAAGGCTACCGGTACTCACAAATATGTCGCACTAATATAGTTATTGCTTCAACCATGTTGGTATACCCTGCACAGTTTCCACAATGTATTGCTATTTACCTATGAATGTTTCCGAAATCCAGGTAGAGGATTTCAAACCCAAACAAGAGAACCAAATGTAAAGCAATCAAAACAAACAATATAATCATGCAAAGGGTGATCTAAGCCCTAAGGTTACTCCACTTTTAAAGTAATCCCCAGCAGAGTCGCCAGTTTTGTGATACGGTGGGAGAACTGACTTGAGGTTTTACGTTTGTGTTCGCAAATGTTTCGGTTTAGCAAGAGTCACCACCGACTTTTTATTTTATCCTAAGGAAAGGTCAAAAAGCACAGGAAAGACCTTTGAGATGTTTTCTTGGGTTTGGGGAGTAGATTATAGAAAGGGAAGGTATTAGCACCCTTTCTATCCATGGTTATCCATGGGCTCTTAGTTACTTACTTAGATCACTTGCTTTGCTTTTCAATTGTTTGAAATGGTGCTCTTCAATTGTTTGAAATGGTGCTTTGTGTGTGATTTTGAAAGATGTTTTGAAAAGAGGCCATCATTGTGGCAACCTTTGTAATGATTCTTGTTTGAATGTATACAAATGTGTTTTTGTCTTTTGAAAAGTTTCCAATGTTTGAAAGTAGGGTTTTGAAATTGTGTGAAGTGTGTTTTGAAGAGAGCAAGGATGTTTTTGCAAGCTTTGATCAAGTAACTAAGAGTTATTTACCCTATTTTACTCAAAGATCTTTCTTATGTTTTTAACCCTTTTAACAGTGTTGTTTCACCATTGTATTTGGTGAACAACCTTGTGTTAGGATGTTAAACGGGACAGGCGCGAGTCATCGTATAGACCATGATAGCAATAGTGTCAAGTATTTTTGGCAATTTCTTGAGGGACTTGATCATTTTGTTTAGGCAACTCAGATAGCATCATCGAGGGACTATGATCTTTGTTTTGTTTTTGTTTTGCCAAAGTACTTGACATGCATACCATGGTCCATTTTTGAAGGCAACAAGTGGATTGAAACCCTAAGGGTGCAAGTGTGTTTTGTGTTTGCAAGAAATATAAAACCCTGATTACTATTACATCCAACTTGAATTTGCAAGGCATAATATTTAAATGTACAATATTTAAATAAATACAATAAATAAATATTAAATAAAATGCATCATGTAAAAAAGGTTTTTTTTTATGTATGTAAAATATTTTCAATGGAAAGAAATGTGAAGAAATAAATAAAAAGTCAATTTTAATTATTTTTGCTTTTAGGGCAAAAAACCCTAATTTCTTAAAAAAATAAATACAATGCATTTATTTATGTACAAAAATGTATTAATATGTATAAAAATGAAATATATAAAAAAAAAAGGTATTATTTAGTATAAATAATAATAAAAATAAAAATGTATTTATTTTTGTGTTTTTTATTCTAATTATTTAATAAACATAGTATATATATATATATATATATATATATATATATATATATATATATATATATATATATATATATATATATATATATATATATATATATATATATATATATATATATATATATATATATATATATATATATATATATATATATATATATATATATATATATATATATATATATATATATACTATGTTTATTAAATAATTAGAATAAAAAACACAAAAATAAATACATTTTTATTTTTAAGTGAAATATGTGAAAAAAATAATAAATGAAAAATGTGAAATATGTGAAAAATAAAATAAATCATTTACAAAAAAGGTATATATTTAAGAAAATAATTTCAAATGAGAATAAAAATAATAAATGAAAATAAAAGTATTTTTTACATTATTTTTAAGTTTAAACAAAAATAGTATAAGTATTTAAACATTTTAATGTTAGAAAAAATTAAAATAAATATAAAAACTTATGAAAATATTTTTTAGGCATTTTTTAAATTTGAAAATAAAATATCAAAGTCAGAAATAAAATAAAAATGCAAAAATGATAAATATACAAGAAATGGGCCAGAGGGTGTGAAACTGAAAAATGGGGTGTGAAAAGCAGGAAGTAGCCAGGCCCAACCCAGCTACTTCATCTTCTTCCTCTGTTCAAACAAAATACGCGCCTTCTTAGTTCAAACCTGTATCTCCTGATTCAGTGTTTTTTTGACAAAACTCAAAACATGAAACTTGTAGAGCATCAAACAACGAATCTAACCATATAAAAAACTTAAGCTAACTCTCAAAGACCAGAGAGAATTTCTCTGGCCCTAATTTCTAACCTAGTTTTTTTCAGAAAGTTCATGGATGAAATTCGCTTAGCACGATTAATATAAATGAAAACTAAGCACATGTATGGTTTCAGGGCTATGAATACAACATCTTTCATTCACAAACCTAAGTCTAACTATTCCTAAATAGAGAGATAGAAGTTCATGAAATACCTGTTTCAGTTGAGTTCGAGCTGGACAATGCAGCAACTTCCAATGGTGCCTGAGGTTTTTTTAAGCTTGCCTGATGTCCACTGAACCTTTCCCAATGCTTAGTTTGTTTTGAAGTGGCCTGAATCGTGCTACAGAACTCAACCTGTAAAGCTTCCAAACAAAAATGGCAATGTGTATTAATGGAGTTACAGCAACTTGTGAATGGTCTGGATAGCTCAGGTATGTTGATTGGAATGTGTTTGAAGTAGTTTTGGACAAAACGCACGAGGGAATTTGATGGTGGCTTGTGATTTGCAGAACTGGCCATGTTTTGCAAGAAAAAGGGGTTTTGGAGTATGAGGATGCTTTAGGGGTGAAAGGATCGCGCTTCTGACTTGCAAGAGTGTATGAAACTTGTTTGATAACTTTGTTTGAGTTAGTTTTTTCAGATGTGTGAGTTGTTGGCTTTTTGCATAATGCCTTGGTTATGAAGCAAAATGAGAAGTGACAGAGAGCAGGCCTGTACAGGCTAGCTCTAACCCTGCATACATTGTGTAAGCTTGGCCCCCAGTTTGTGGATTTGGTTTGCAGCATAAGATCTTGTTCAAGGCTCTAGGATGTTGTTTTGACATAAAGCAAAATTCAAGCAAAAATGGCAATGTTGCTTTTTCTATTTAAGGATTAATCTAGTGTATAATCCTCTAATGTCCAAAACAAAACCTTAGACCAATGGATTTGCATTTAATTATTGAGTAAAAATTGGTTTAGAGGCCTGTAATTATGAACTAAGCTAGCTTGGTCAGATTTGGCAAGTGGTATGAACATGTATTGGCCATGGTTACAAAGTGAGTTTTTGCCAACTTCAAGCATTCGATTCTCCCTAACCACAAAGGTGTTTGAGTAGTTCTTGGACAATTTAGAAAGCTTGCAACATGTACTATAATCCATCTTTGAAGTGAAACTTGAAACTCCAAGTGGAACTATGTGAAAAATGGCCAAGAAGACGGGTCAAAATCCTGCCTAAACTAGGGCAAAATTTCTCTAAGTTAAAAGTTTTAGGTACCCTTGTTCCAAAAATCATAACTTGAGATCCAAGCTTCTTTTGAGAAAACTTTATGAGTCAAAGTTGTAGACTTTGTGATGAACTACAACTTTCATGTTGTAAGTTTTGTTTGAATCCATTTGCATCTTGGTGAAAAAATGGGACAAAGTTAGGAAAAAATAAGAATATTTTATAGCTTAGAAAATTTCTAAGTTATGAAAATTTTCCATTTTAAACCCTAATTTGCAATTTTTGGTTTCTTGATGAACAAGTTTCTTAATTTGACATGTCTTGATGAAAAATGACTCTTGGCACTTGATTTTAACCAAAAAATCAAAGTTTGACTTTTCAGTATACAGTCAAATTTTGATCAGTTGACTGAAAAATTCATCTGTCAATCCTATGCATTTGAGATCTTTTGAACTTGTTGTATGGGTCAAGATAATGTCATTGAGTCTTTGAGTCCATGGTTGAGCTTGATTTTCCATTGGCTAGGTCAAACAGTCAAAAATTTCCTTTGTACAGTCAAAACCCTAAAAATGACCATTTTGCCCTTTTGGTGATCTGATCAAATTTCTTGTGGAATTATGATCCAAACTTGATCAAATGGTTCATATGAGTTCATAATGTTGATGTGGGTCAAAATTGATGAGATTTGACTGTCAATTGACCACAGTTGACTTTTTCCTCAATACAGCTGATTTCTAGGTCAGTTGTCCAATTGACTGGGCAAAGATTTGATTCAAGACTTGAAACTTGGTATGGACAAACTTGTGAGTCCAACATGAAGTATGAAAGTCACTTTGGGCATTGCAGGTCAAAACATCCCTGTGCAAACTCAAACCCTAATTTAGGTCAACAGTGCAAGGAGGTGTCTTGAGCAGAGCAAACCCTAGCTTGATCTTGAGTTCCAAGAGTCTTGTGATGTGAAATGTTGATGAAATGGGAGGGCAAATTTTGGGGTACAACACCATCCTTTGGATTAAAGCCACAAGAAAATAAATAAGCCAAGAGTATACCGGGTATCATATGAAAATAAATCACAAACAGACAATATCAGAGAAAGCCAATGTGTCAGATAAAGCTTAAAGCATGGGATAAGAATCCATGTATCAGATGAAATTCCCAAACAAACAGACAAAGCCAAGATAACAGAGAAATAACAGAAGTCTTATGTGAAGTAAGAATTCAGGTCCAAGTGGATTAGAAATCTGTATTAAAGTTAAATGAAATATGAAATGGATGTTTAATTAATTAATTAAAAAGTGATTAAATTAATTAATTAAGTAAAGAAAAAATAATTAGAAAAACTAATTAATTTTTAATAACAAAATCAACTAACTAAATTAACTTTTTGTTAATTAACTAAAAGTAACAAAGTAGCGCTAAGATGAAGTGAACATATGACCTATCTTGAAAGCCTTCACAATAATAAACTCGTTAGTAACACAAGAGGAATTGAAAACCAAATGAAACTTGTATAATTGAACATGTATAATTGAATATTCCTCAATCAAGAACCAAGAAATCATGTTATTATTCAATGTAAATAGCAAAAATCAGCATTGCATTCATTGTGTTAAACACATTCAAAGTCAAGTAAACACAACGGTAAACATTGTCTTACAATCACAAATGAAACAAGGATCAAGAAATCATGCTATTATAAATTGCAAGCTCCAAAAAATCAGCGAGGCATACATAGTTCCAAACATATTCAATCAAGTAAACTCAAGAATAATCATGATTTTCAAACCACCAATGAAACAAGAAGCGAAAATTCACGCTGCAACATGAAAATTCGAAATCAAATTAAGCTTCAAACCCTAAACCAAAATCCGGACAGCAACTTCCTAAATCCAATCATGCTCAATAAAATCATCTCAAACAAGTGTTTCATGCACACGAAATACACAACGATACCATAGTCGAATTAATCTTTCACATTCAAATCAAATGGCACAACAAAAAGTCATCCAAACCTCCTTCAAATTGATCAATCAACATGACATAACAATAAACTTCACTCAAAATTTGTCACCAGAAGTTAAACATTAAAAATTAGCACAGTTAGCATGGTATCGCAAGCGAACTTCAACACAATTCGACGTTAAGAATCATGCCAATTTATAAATAAAAAAAGCATAACATCAACAAAAACTTCATCACGATTTAACACGAATAGAAACATCAAGAATTAAATCGTTCTCAGATTTGCAGCACTAATAGTTCATAAGCAACACAATAACACATTTTTTAAGGATTCACTTACTCAAATAACCTAACGGTTTAAATCAAAAGAGACTAAACACCAAAACCATTTTCACAGAGGAATTTATCATAACATCAATTTGCGGTATCACAGTTATGCAGACATATACGAAATGGCACGAAATTTTACCGACCATCGACAAAGATGGCGAACAGATGTTGTTGTCCCAAGCGAGGGTGAGGAAGCATTGAACTGAAGCTGAGATAGAGGTGAAGACGCGGTGATGGCGTGAAGACATTGAAATATTCAAAGGAAATGGTAGAGGGCGTCGAAAATGGTGTCTCTACATGGAGAAGCTTCAAGCTGAGGGTGGTTATTGAGAAACAGAACAATGTTGTTGGTGGAGAAGGCGAGCTTTGATCATAAACAGATGCAGAGGATAATCGTTGGTTGTGAGATGGGTGGATGGATGCTGAATCTAAGTTTGGTGAATCGAAGGTGTTGTTTTGTGGAGGATGAAGAACGAATGTTATAACCACTCAACTTATCCAAATGAACTTAGGTAATGACCAATGACCAAACAGTCCCCCTCTTTTTGATATTTCCTTTTTAAATAAGTCTAAATGTAAAACAAAAATAAACAAAAAAAAATTATATGCATTTCTTTTATAATTTTAAACTAAAACTAAATTAAATCTTAATTAAATAAATAAAAAATACATTTTTTTAATATATTTTCTTAATAATAAAGAATTTTAAAAATAATATCTAAAGAGAAAATTTGATAAAGATTTAAATCAAAAAATAAATGCAAATGTGCGTTGAAATGTAAAATATGCGAATAAAAATTAATTTGGATATAAACAATGCGAATGAGAAAAAAACTCTGGGTAAAATTTGGAGTGCAAATGGAGGTCAAAGAAATAAGTAAATGTGTCAAGATCATCTATTGAGGTAGAATATAGGGCTCTAGCTTCAGTTAGTTCTGAATTGTTATGGTTAAAATAACTTTTAAGAGCTTTTGTAAATGTTGTTCCTTCATACAAAGTTTTATGTGACCGTTCATCCGTTATTCAAATGGACAACAATTCCATGAATCGTGAAAGAGTCAAACACATTGACATAGATTATCATTTTATTAGAGAACATGTGGTTGCTAAATTCATCAAACTAATTCACATACCATCTAAACATCAATTGGCTTATCCACTCACTAAAAGCTCTACCAAGAGATTTGTTCCATCACCTTATAATCAAGTTGAAAATTTGTAATATATACCTTCTAACTTGAGAGGGTTATTAAATGCATTAGATTAGTTAATTATTTTTCAATTGTGTTTAATTGTTGAGATAACTACTTAATTGAAAACTAGTTAAGTTTGTAATTGTCTTGCATTTTTTATGTTAGAACTTCATCACCTATATAGGTGGATGAAGCTTCTCTTTGTATAGATAGTTAACAATCAATAATGAAACTCATTTTTACCTCTAAATTCGGTTAACTACAATAAATATAAATTAAGTTTACCACAAGTTAAGAGAGAAAAATGTAATAACTCTAGAAATATTTTGATAATTGAAATTATATCTTAAGATATAGAATGTTTAATAATTTTAAAACAATTTGAGATGCTTTTCAGGTCTATCTAAAATATATTATTGTATATTTTTATATTGCATCATTTTAAAAAATTAGATCAATACAGAAATAGAAGGCAGTCGGATAATAAGTTGCGTTGTTACTCTGTTTTGGATTGCAAAATCAACCCTCATAAAAATTACATCCACACAGACTTATGAGATACAACATTACTATTCATAAGCCTTTGAAATTTTTGTGAAATATCAACTACTTCTTGTGTTATTTGTGATCATCCCACTGATGATTATATGCCTAACAATGATCCCACAAGTCATGACATTCCTAACCCTGAGGTACCTATGTTTAGTTCATCTAATAATAATCATGTTGCTCCTATTGTTCCAATTATTAGAAGGTATAATAGGACTCATAGAGCCCCCAACTAGTTTTAAATTTGTCTCTCATACTCCTTATCGTATTGATAATTTAGTTTCTTGTAAAAATCTATCTACTTCATACAAATATTTCATCGTGCAAGCCTCCTCAGTCTATGAACCTCATTTTTTTTCATTAAGCTGCCAACATTCCTGAATAGTGCAAGGCTACGAGGGAAGAAATAACAGCTCTTAAGGCAAACACTTTGATTGTTCAACCTTTACCTTATGACAAGAAAATCATTGGGTGTAGATGGATATATAAGACTAAACTCAATCTTGATGGATCATTGGACAAATATAAGGCTATATTGGTTACAAAGGGGTATACTCAGCTACCTAGCATTGATTTTATAGATACCTTTTTCCCAATAGAAAAACTCACAACTGTTAGAGTCTTACTCAACTTGGTAGCTTCTCATAAGTGGAAATTAACTAAATTAGACATCAATAATGTCTTCCTAAATAGAGATATTTTTGAAGAAATTTTTATGGATTTTCCACTTTGTTATCCAAATGAGTGGGATAACATGGCATGTAAGTTAAATAAATCCTTATATGGATTACGATAAGCTTCAAGACAATGGTATCACAAACTCTCTACAACAATCATTCAACATGGTTTCAAACAATCCTCAGATGATCATTTCTTGTTTACTAAAGGGGAAAGTGATTCACTTGTTAATCTTTTATTATATATAGATGATATTGTCCTTGCTAGTCCCAATTTTAACTTGGTTCAAGAAACTCATACATTTCTCCAAAGTATGTTTAAACTAAAGCTTTTAGGAGATCTTAAATACTTATTTGGTCTTTAAACTACGAGTTCAAGAAAGGGAATTCCTTTGCATCATAGAAAATACACATTGCAGTTGTTGTACCCCAAAATTTTCCCTCTCATTTTTTACAAGATCTTCTCTTACAGGGGTGGTTACAAACACTTGTTTGAAGAAAAACAACAAATTTTGAAATTGGCCAAAGTGCCTTTCGATTGGCCTCTCCAAAGTGCCTTTCGATTGGCCACTCCAAAGTGCCTTTCAATTGGCCTCTCCAAAATGTCTTTCGATTGGCATCCCAAAAATGTCTTTCGATTGGCATCCACATATTGCCCTTCAATTGGCATAGGCAAAGGTCTTTCAATTGACCTGTTAACAAGGCCTTTCAATTGGCATTTTAACAAGGTCTTTCGATTGGCATTTTAACAAGGTCCTTCGATTGGCATTTTAACAAGGTCTTTCGATTGGCATGATAACAGTGTCCTTCGATTGGCATTTCAACAAGGCCCTTCGATTGGCATTCCAAAGGGTCCAGTCAAAGAACATGCAAAGGCCCATTTGAAAGGGAGCATTTGAAGGAGGCCATCAGCCCATTCGAAAGGGAGCATTTGAAGGAAGCCATCAGCCCATTCGAAAGGGAGCATTCGAAGGAGGCCATCGGCCCTTCGAAGGGCAACATTCGAAGGTCAGTTATATATCATTCAAATTCAACAAAGGAACGAGATCCCTTAACTTTGGCCAAGGTTACGTTTTACATTCATGGCATTCAAATGGCCGTTATCAGCATTATTTCTCTTGTCCCCTCATACCCCTATAAATATGAGGCCAAGGACACATTACAAGGGGGAGAAAAAACGAAAAAAACATTGGAGAGAGGCTGCCCACAAAATTCATCAAAGGTTGCCAGAATTTTCCAAGGTATCCAAGCCAAAGCAATCCTTCAACCAAAGGTATACACGCCCATAAGCCCCAAATCGAAGGTGTCTACATCCAGGAAGTGTCCAAATCGAAAGTGCCTACATCCAGGAAGTGCCCAGATCGAAGGTGCCTACATCCAGGAAGCGCCCAAATTAAAAGTCCAATCTGCTAGTAAGAAAGGGTAAACTATCCAACCTCATATTTGCATAATACATCCATATTGGTTGTTACCTTCGATTTTCTATCCTAGACAGGATCAAGAGGCCTGGGTTTGACACCCAGGCCATGTCCGTCGTTTGCTAATATTTGTTGCAAACATAGCCTGAAGAGACCCAACAAGTGCAGGATCGAAGGGCCTGGGGTTCGATACCCAGGCTCTGCATTTTATTTCGCTAACATACTTTTGCAGGTATAACATCCCAGATCGAAGGAGACACCTTCTCTGGATCGAACCCATTAGCATGCTGGATCGAATGAGGCATCTCATTCCTGGATCGAAATCCATGACCTCCATGATCAAAAGACAATCCTCTTCCCTGGATCGAAGGCTACTCATGCCTTACTATCTGGCCCAATCGAAAGGACCACGACCCTCTCTGGATCAAAGCTTCCATTCCCTCCCTGGGTCGAAACTCCTTTTTTTCCCTGGATCGAAGGATCCTTCTTTCTATTTTATTTTTGTTTTCATAGACTTATTTTTATCTTTTTAATTAACATTAAAATAAAAAATCACAAAAATATTAGGCTAGTTATTTTTCCAACTAAATTAATTTTGTAAATTAATTAATTATTTAATTTAACATTTTTTTCTTAAAATTAAAATTAAATAGACTTAGGACTTATTTTCTTTTATACCAAAAACAACAAAAAGATTTTTTTTTCTTTAGGATTTTTAGACTTCTTTTCTATTTCATGCGCGTTTATGTAATTTTGTATATTTTACTATTGTTGTATCTGTCCATTGGATGTAATAGATAAATTAGGACATTTACCGCTTTATTCCCACTATCCTTGTAAAATATAAATCCCCTCCCCGAAGCATTGTAATAGCATAGGACCTCTATTTTCTGCATTTTACTGCTTTTCATATTAACTGCTAGTAATTAGGCTTGTATAATAAGACTAATAATCAAACACTAGAAAACTTAGCAAAAAGACAAAAAATAACTGAAACACAACACATTTGCACACAAGCGCCTCTAAGATACACCCACTTTGGTTGTCTTTTAAAAAACAGTCATGAGGCAGGAATGCTTTAGCAAAGACCCTTAAAATCAAAAGATCACAGTCCTTCGATGACCCTACAGTTGCCTTCTCGGTAAATAATCTAGTCCCTAAAACAGAATTGCTAAAGCATTTCCACAATTGCCTTCGTGACTGTAACGTCCCTTCGATTTTCCCTCAACATCCAACGACAAGGCTACCTACTCACTAATAGTAGGATAGCACCGTCTAAAGGATAAGGAGGAAAAGAATACCCTTTTCGAGTATAAAAATAAATAGCTGTTAGAAGTTTGCTCAAAAATACTTTTTGCACTTACACACAAATACTACTTTTCAAAAACAATTTCAAAACATTTGCTTTGTT